GCTTGTTGTTTTCTCCTCTGACACTGCTATATGAACAGTTAGTTGCCATCAAAATGGGGACAAAAGCTGTAGATGTCATATATATGTCATACACTTAATCTTTGTGTAAGCTCTAGGTATCAGACTAGCCAAATCTACCTGGAGCCAAGCCCACTGTACAATACTAGAACGATCATTGCAGGACGCCTGCTATGGAACAAATTCAAACTTGATCAAATACAAGTTAACTATTGATAGATGATCAAATATATAATTACAAAATATATAGTATATGCTGTTTGTATGTGCTCACACAGACAAGCCCATGCAAAATTGTAAGATTATTTGGTTGTGAAAGGATTACTCTGAGACTAAAACATGCAGAATCACACAAAATTTCTAGATAGTTTTTGTAAAAACGTTGAGGTTTTTCACAATTATATTTTCAATGAAAAATTTCCATTGACACAGTGAGATGTCAACTAGGAATCCCAAATACATATTTTTTTTGAGCTACAGAACATATATCATAATAGCCTGACCTGACAGGCTTCCTCATCCCATGATCTCAGATGCTGGCCCTCAATGAAAAGGCATCTCCATTCATCCTTTAGTTGAGACTCCCAATGATAACATAAAATTGCACTGGTCTCTCCTGAACAAAGGCGCTTGCCTTTAACCAAGTCATTTCATGCAGCCATGCAGTAGGCAACATAGTGTGGCTATTGCATATCTAGCTAGGATGAAATCCATGATTAAAAGACAATTTAAATTATCCTCATGCAAAAAATTCTGAAATGAACCACAAATTGCTTTGAAAGAAGGGAGGCTGGGAGCAACTTCTTGTCAAAATTTAAGCAAGATGTAACTCCTTTTCTGATCTAAGCTGATTTTTTTTTTTTTTTTTTTTTTAAGAGCTACACTGACATAGAAAATAAAATAATCTTCTCTCCATCCAACAGAAATCCTAGAAGGCAGCTGGGTAGTCCTGACAAACATGAAATGTTCTGCTAAAATAACAAACTAAAAAAGGTAACAAAGGTTAAAGTGGCCTAGAAAGCTTAGCATCACTTTCTGGAAAATAACTTGGCATCCAATTCCACAGCTACATCCAAACAGAGAGAAGATCAGCTCTGTTTGCTACATCAAACATGACTCAGATTTTTTTCTCTCTTCCTCTCTCTTCAAACATAAATAGTTCCAGGCTCTTAAATAAATTAGCTCAACTTTGGTTACACAAGCTGTTTCATTTTTTCTTGAAAAGTTGATATAGATGTTTATTTTAAAATTGTAAATAAAATATAAATGGAGGTTTTCCATTGTATAGTGATCCTTGCCAGTAGGTAATGATCAGCATTGTTTCAATTTTTCTTCCTTATCCTGTACTTGGGGATCACAGCATTATTATGACTACTTCTGATGGGAAATGTATGAAAAATATTATGCAATAACAGGAGGTTTACCTGTACTTACTCACTGTAAAAGAAAAATAATAATTTGGTTTAAAATACATGGAAAATAAATGCAACAAAATTACTTAGCATTTCTTATAATTTTGTCCTTTAAAGACCCCCTGCTTTCTTATGTGTATATGTTGTGTGGGAGATGTGAACCCTGGAGAGGCTAATAAGTGAAAGACAATGGTTCTTTAAAGCCCCACAAGCACTTACTACTCAGCTGTATTTGGACTGTTCCTAGGAGTCAGCTTGTGTCTATCTGGATTATGTTGCTGCTGGGATTTTTTGCATCAAGATAGTTACAGTAGTGTAGCTCTAGGATGAAAATACGTCATGCAGTAACAATATGAGAGTGTAAACTGAAGGTTCACCCTAGGACTGTGGCAAGTTATTTTCTATATTAGTGTGGAACATTTTGACCATGTTTTCAAAGATGTAAAAGTAAAGCAGGTCTTAAGTACTTCCATGATGGGATGTGAAGTTTGGCTTTAGGGCATGATTAGCCAAGGGCAGGGGTTTTTCCTCTCAATACTATAGTGATGCTTCACATCCTTCCTAAAACTGTCTGGGGTGAGGTGTCTCTGCTCTAGCATGGAGCAGATTATTACTATTATTATTGATTTATGTCATGCCTGTCTGCTTCCAGCCTCAAAACACTTTACTAAGTTACAAAATATATAGGAACCATTTCATGTCAGCCACTACAATGCTGTAGCCTTCTCTGGATGGAAACTGAAGGGAGCCATTAGGATGGTGCCTGCAACATTAACCAACAATCCAGGAGAGGAAGTAAAGAATATTCTGGTTCCTTAAAGCAATGGCTCAACAGAAGGCAGTCACTGAACTGCCATCCAGCTGGGACACCAAAGTCAATACCCATTCACTGTGTGTGGTTAAAATTAAATCTCCTAATGAAGTGAGATGGTTTTAGTGGTTAGAGAGTGAGTGCAAAGTATTATTCTCCTGTATTATTATTTGTAAGTTATACAGCTAACAAGGGAAAAGATCACACACAGGAAAATAGCAGACAGTTAGATAATGTTCCAAGCCCAGTTTCTAAATGACATTTGGGCGAATAAAGCTTTGGAAAAAATATGTTTAAAAAAAAAAAAAGATGAAACAGAAAAAAGGAATTGGCAGTTTCTCAATGTGTTTAGAGAACTAAACTAAACTGATGTCAGTTTTTATTCCTTATAATTCAGGTCCAGGGAAAAGAATGTTATTAGTTTCTGTTAATGACCAGGTATTCCCTAAACACTGTTGCAAAAGCTCCTGAATTTTAATTTGCTTAGAAAAAGAAATGGTGAAGTATTGGAGGAAAAAAAAAAATTGCTAAAAGCTTATTTTTGTGCCTGAATTAGCAAAATGCTTAGACAGTTTTCTGGATAGAAGATTTATATATCTGACTAAAAAAGATCCTCACACAATGTTATCAAGCTCTCCTTTCAGGGCTAGTAACTGCTAGCTGGTTCTAGTCATTCTTGCAAGCGATCATTTGAAAGGTTCATTTTATGATCCCTCAAACTAGCACAAAGAATCTCACTCCATAATGTAATAAACAATTCTACAACCAGTGCTTAATTAATTCCCAAAAGTCACCAAAAGGAGCTATTAATGATCTTTCTTTTTATCTAACCATAAATATGCAAGTCTCCTGGGATAAAGGATTTAAAAAGAACATTCTGGCAAAACTAATTGTCAACTTGATAAAGCGTAAAATGATCACCAGTGAGGGTAATTCAAAATATGACTGCAATGCTACCTAGTCTGATTAGAAAGTTAGATCAAGTTGGATTAAATTTCTCTGAATGTTGTGCTTACCAAAAAGAGGACAGAGTTGACATGGTGAAAAACAGACTCAATCCAAATGAAGACTTAAGAGAAAAATACTACAATCTTTAGAAAAATTATAAAATAAAAAATCTATTTGGGAATTTGCTTTACTGTGAAAATATCAACAATCATCATAATTAGAGTGTGGACAATATTTCAGGGTTGTTTAAAACATGTGGATCACAAAGAACAGATGACTGTTATCAAGAGAACTAAGTGTTTTGGGAGCCCAAGTATCATTTTCACAAGTAAATCAGGCAGTGGGAAGCCCTTAAATGAAATTTAGTGTCCTGGTAACACAACCCATTGCTGAAAATTAGATTTAGGCTTCTAAAGGGCTTTGATGTTTTTGAAAATCACACTTCCTGCAGCACTGCAGAGCTGACTAGGTGTAATACAGTAATCTACCCTTCAGCTGAGGTCATCAGGAATAGAATCACTTTGGTGGCTTTAGTGACGTCTGGGAGGTTGGGTTTTTTCCTTATATTGTAGAAAAATTTTTTCCTGGGCATAGACAATGATGACTGGAATCTCTCTGGCCAGAAACTGGGGGAGAAGAAAGAGAGAATCTACCTTTTCCAAAATAAACTAATGCAGTCCTTGGGTGCTTGTGCTTGACGCCAGTGGAGCCTGTGCACCAGCATGTCCCATCTTCACAAGAGCTCCATGACCTATTGGAGCCTCAATGGATGTGGGCTTTCTGAATCTCTCCTATTGAAGCAATCCCTGTGACATCTGCACGTGGAAACGTGAAATAGAGTGTCCCACGACACAGCCATTATGGTTCTTGGTATGTGTATGGAAATCCAAGGTTCATGTACCTCTCAAATTAGTTTTTAATTATTAATACAAAGAAACAAACACAAAAGGAAACATTAAGAGAGACATGGTGGGAAATAACTAAGAGCACTTTCAGGATCCCCACTCCTTGACTCCTCTTGAAATGGTGAAGTATTGGAGGGATCTCCACTTGACAAAGAAGGTCTCAGATCTCCAGAACACTACTTTTCAGTCCCTTGATCTGTAGAAGGACTCAGGCTCTGTTCCAAACATTTTAGAAAACCTGGAAGTTCCTTTAAACAAGAAATTTTAAAATTTCTAATTTTTTTCCAACTTTTTTTTTTCCCCCCCAAATATTGGAATTTCCTGAAGAACAGAAATTTAGTTTTGAAACTACTTCTATTCAACAGTGCTATTCAGATGGAAACATTTTCTTATTCATTCCACTTTGCAACCAACTGGTGCCACCCCAAATGTATTGCTCTTCCAAGAATGACGTGGTAGCGCTGGAATAGTTAATTAGTTGGGCTGTATGCTGCCTCTGCCAAAAGTTGCAGCTTCCAGAGGCATTCTTTTAAGGAATGGTGGTGTGGGTTTGACATTTACAAGGATACACATGGTTTCAGGAGCCCACAGGCACCAAACATTAGCTTGTGTTTTATAACTGCTCATCTCAACCCAGTCACTGAGCTTATGTCCTGATCACAGTGAGTCAAGCAAACTTCTTTAATGCACTCATGAAGAAATCTTTTGATTAATTTATTTTTCTTTTTTTAATTAAAAAATTGTCTTTGGAGAATCTTTTAAGAAAATTCCACTTCTACAGCTAATAATTAAATTAAAACATTATTAGCATTATGATATAATCTCTTGTTGCTAAATACCTTTGTCACTTTGCCCTCAAATCTTTGTTCATTGTTAAGGTAAATAAAAGATATCTAAATTCAGTACCTTTATACTTGGTCACCACAGCTGAGTTGACACTCAGAGGTTCTTGGAAGGTGACAGTGAGTGATGTACTGCTTGTTACCATGAGACAGACATTGGTTGGCGCCTCAGGGGCTCCTGGGAGAGAAGAGAAAACATCAGCTCTTCAGCACAACAAATCCTATTCAAACAATGTTTCTGAGTCTTCAAAGAACCCACTGAAAATCACCCTGCAATTGTGAGCTTTGGGTTGTAGGTGTTTGTGTTCTCTGCCTTTTGAGCATTTTAATTAGTGTCCCTGCTAACAATATCCTGCAGACACCATTTGTTTCTATCATGGTTTTTGGCTCCTTTCGGTTAAAAATATCTTCCTGCATATATGTAACCCAATAAAACAGATTCATGCTAATGTCAACGAAAAGCCCCTATAAATCTTTTGGGGTGGATAGGAGGAGAGAGAAAGGACAAAGTCACAAATAACTAATTAAAACTTTATAGTTTCACTGACAAACTCAAATTTATGAAATAACAGAAAACATTTTTACATTATTGTGATTCAGAAATTGCAAATTCCACAAATGTTTCAGTGTAGTAATTCCAAAATACAGTTGTCAGTTAAGGCCTAAGAATTTTTGTTGTTGTTGTTGTATTTTGTTAAAAAAGCTTACTTCACAGAATAACAATCAGACTCAATTCAGAAGTCAAACACAAAATGTGGTGACTTACTGCTGGGATTGATTTAAAAAATCATTATATTAACTTACACTACTGTCGTATTTCCTGTATTTAGTATCTAATACTAGAAGTACTACATCTGTCTTGAAGCAGTAATCTTAGAATACAATAAATTTGAGAAAATTATTTGTAAGTACATTTATATAAAGATGCTTGTAAAAATGTTAATGGCAATGATTGTATTTCATTGAATAGCACACAGCTAAAATATCTACACATGAAACAATTCAGCCCTGTTTACTCCTTCCCATGGGCCCAAATTCACATTTACTTTGGGTACAGACTCGTACAACTGTTTAAAGTGACCCAATCTGGGACTATGCTTATGAAATGTTATATGTGGATGCCAAAATTAAGATTAAGTTTTCACAATTTGTACATGTAAAATGAAATTCCATTGTTTGATTAAATACTTAGGACAACTCTATTATTTTAAAAGAGATTTTTTTTTTTTTAAAAACAAATTACAACAGAAAAAGGACAATTGACCTACCCCTCTTATTCCCTATTCATATATTCTTTTCTAATCATGCTCTTTTAAATTCTGAGCACATTAAATGAGATCCAAGAGTAAGGAGAAGTAAGCAGGACAGAATCATTATATCCTGAACCAAGAATTTGAAGGTCTCATCTCATGCAGCCCACTCCTAAAGTAGCTATGTGCTTGTTACTCTCAGGTATTTGGTCCTCTGTTGTTCTAACAGTTTCCTTCTCATTCTCGGGAAGGCCATTTAGTCATATGCTTCAGTTTTCCCACTCTAACATTCGTCTGCTTCACAGCAGTGCTGCGAGGATCAGTTAGTGAGAGCGTCTTGGTTCAACAAAGCCGGAGCGTTCTTAATTGTAGAGTTCTTGCCTCGAATTTTGCAACTTTCTTCTACTTACTAGCATGGTCGTAGCCTGCTTTCATGCGCTTGTATAGCCTGTATCTCCATTCCCATGCTTTTAGTTGCTTCTCTTTTTCTGTGTTGTCTGTACCAAGGTCTTCATTCATCACTTGTGCAGACAATTCAGTAACTCGCTGCTGTGCTTCCTGGACCAATGTACTCAGATGCACTGACCTGCTTTCCATGTTCACAACTACCAAGAAAAGGGAAAAGTAATTGCTTGATGGACTTATGTGACAAAATTCTGGCCTTCCTCACTCTGGTAGAACACATGTAAGGTCAAATCCTTGAACACTGCCTTCCAGTCACCAAGTGGATCAGAGCATGCCAATTTATAACACTTAAGGATCTGGCCACTTAAATGGGATTAATGACATGAATAAATTGAGCAAATTTTATCTTCCAATGTTTCTCATATGCTTAAAAGTGTCTTAATTAAACTGAAATTGCATATATAGAGAATATTAATAACAAACTAAAATAATAAAGCATTTGGTTTCTATTCAATCTCTACTTCATAATATCATAAGCTTTCATAGAAAAAAAGGTTATACTGGTTATAAACACATACACTATATAAATCTCTACAAGTGAAGAGAGATGTAATTGGCAAACTTAAGAATGAGCATTTTGTGCCTAAGTGGCATGGCTGGTACAGAATGGATCTCTTTCCGCGTTTTCCTTGTGCCCCAGTTTTGACCATGTAATATGTAAAATAGTCTTCTAACAGACTGGACGGATAGTGAGCAGTTTGACATGTGGAGATTTTGCTTTTCTCCAGTGCTCAGAATAATTTTAATTTGACGTTTAGCAGTTCAGATTGCCTGTATGAATTGTTGCATGCTACATAAATGTGAAAACGAAGATTGCGTGGGGTACAAACTAAAACAGGTTGGATTTTAGCCCAAGACCACAAGAGTACACTAAACTAGCCCCTCGATTATATCATGAATTGTGGTGAATCAAGCCCTCTTTTCAGAATTGCTCTTAGCTTGAAATTGTTCAAACTATTTGCAGTATAGAAAATGGGATTTGTAAAGGTGTTTAATCTGAAAAGAAATGCAACCACTGATCTGATGTTCAATATGCAGGAAATAGTGTACAAGAGAAAGAATTCTGAAATCATAGAAAATAACTTTTCTCTTGTGTCTAGTGTTTTTGCAGAAGAGCTCTGAGAGAGTCTTAATCTAAAAGGCTCCTATTTACTGAAAACACTGCCCTAGCAAAAGCAGCTACTTGTAGCAATGATGAGGACTTGTAGGGAAAGCCAGGCTCTCGGATTTCCCTAACATTCCTAATGTTCAGGAACAGCATGGATCTTGCATAGGATGCATTGATCATTCACTTGCATAAACCAGGAGCAGCAGACGTTTCTGAAAACATCAAACTGCACCATAAAAAGGACCAAGACTCTGACGTGTTCTTGACATCGAAACACCACATGAGCAAAGATGTCTGCACATTTAAATATGTTATTCCTGAACTGGAATCATAGGATTATGGGACAAATCAGATTGGAAGGAACCTTCTTTAGTCCAACCTTCTTGTTCAAAATAGGGTCAGCTATGAGGTCAGACCAAGTTACTGAGGGCATTACCTGATCTGATCTTGAAAACTTCCCAAGATGGAGGTTTTACAACCACTCTAGACAACCTGTTCCACTGCTTTACTGTCTTTATGGTGAAAAAGATGGTTTTTTAATCCAGTCTGAATCTCTCATTGTAATTTTTGCCCTCTGTCTCTCATAACAATGTCACAATTGAAGCTTAGTGGAGTCTAAGAATAACCCTACGTAGTAATGTGAAAAGTGCCATGGGGTCTTTAAAGCCACAGAAGGCGAGCAAAGAATTACTCAACATTTCTGACATCCAAAAGGTTGCTTTTGAAGAATGTTTGTCTCTAAGATTTTGCTTTCAGAAGCTGGCTTGGAGCCATCCTTCTTGAATTTTGATCATTCTTCATATGGACATCAGAGACATGTGGCCAGGTTTACTGGAATCTGCTGGTATCCACAGAACACTCTGTTTACTGGGAAGCCAAAGGTGATACAGTTTCCTGGATCCATGCCTACAATAAGCATGCAACACATCTGATAGCACAACAGGACTGAGAAAGGAGATTTTATGTGCCAGAATTTCAGGTGATTGAGAATTGGCATTGGTTCAAGTTCTCACTAAGGATCTGGCTCTATCTGTTTAATCAAGATTCTGATCCACAATTGTTAGATCTTGGAAACATGTCCAATCAGCCACTGTAAAATTTCACCTTATTTTTGTTTGGGTTCATGTGAATAAGCCAAGACAAACTACAAGTATGTGATGAATAAGAGTAACTGAAAAGATAACACAGTGGACTTTGCCTCCTCCCCAACTAAATAAATATTTCTGCTGCTGTACTCTATGATCTTACTTACTTTGTGTTTAAGATATGATGGGTCCCTTTTTAAGATTTATACAGTCTGAGCTCCATGTGGAAATGAAGATCATAGTTTTACTTTCTATTGCTTTATCTGCTGTTCCTATTCCAAGCAGAAATCCAGGTGATACAGATGGAAGCTATCTGTCCTCCAGATCCTCTTTTCTTCAGCTATAATGAGATTTCAGCTGGATCACTATGGCTGATATAGTGGAAGAGCAAGAATTTTCTCTGTAGGAAGATTTCTGTGTGCATTTGGAATGGGGAATTACTCTTCCTTATGGTCTCCCAGATTTGTGCATCTGTCCTATACACTTCCAATCAGATTAAGAGATGCTTGTGCCCTGTCCCAAAATTGGGATGAGTCCAAATTTTACCTTGAAATCCCCCTCCCCTCCCACTCAGCCTGGAGAAATCTTGCTCAGCTGCCCACCAAAGAGAAATGAAAATGCTCCTGCTGAGTGCTGGATCATGTTCTCACAGCCCTGAGATCTTACAAACAGAATGGATTTCATTCTAACAGGCTTGGTTAAGTACAGAGAGCAAAGCAGAAAGACTAGAGAAAATAGAAAGTGACTGCTATCAGTTCTGCAAGGATGAAGCCACACACAAACATGCGGTAAACCTTTGTTTTGAGTGCTGAAAATAATTTTTTGCATTTTCCTCTCAAGTAGCAACTGTAAACCCTTAAGTTAAAAACCAGCAAACCAAATAATCCTTTGTTTTTTATTGAGAATGCTTCAGCCATTATCTCAATCAGAAAAACTAAAAATCGAGATAAGTGAAGTGGAAATTTGGTGGGTATATTTTGAAATGGAAATGAAGTGGTTATATATTCATATTCTCTGTGTTCATAGGCATGTTTGCATTAATTACAGGAAATGAATACTAATTTATGATTGCCCCTGCTCGCCATCAGACTGCATTTATTTACCGATGAGGTCAATGAAAAATTAGTTTAGTCTTTTTTACTGCTGTTTAGAACACTCAAGACTGTGTTTTCCTCTAGATTTGTCATGGTTAATGAATGTTGCTTCAGCAGTCAATCATGTACTCTAAATGCTGTCACACTTTTTTTTAAAGCCTCAGTCATGAACCATGACAGAAAAATAAACAAATAAATATAAAACTAAAAAACTCTTTTCACTGAGCAGCTACACTATGCAAAAATCTCCAGGGAAGGTTAAAGGAGGCCAGAATAAATGATAATATAAGTGCTGTGGACATAGAAAAGCAATAAAGGTGTACCAACACTGAGGGTCTGGCAAAAAAACTCAACACACACACGCACATGCACACACACTCTCCAGTGAAAAAACTGGCAATGTTAGTAGCCTCAAGGTGCAATTTCCTGGAGCACTGAGATTGACATGCCAGCACTAAATGTTGTTAATTTAACTAACTTCAAATTAATGGCAGAGTCTGCAGTGGCCGAACCCCTCAAACACAGTCTCATTATAGCCTTGCTGGGAATGTCCTAAATATAGGCATTGACAGTTTAAAACAAATTCGCATACATTGGTGTATTTTTAGACACAAGTAAGGCGTCAGAGTTTGTGTCATGGTATATGGTTGATTAATTGGGTTGGTAAGTCACCCTCTAACCCACAAATTGTGCATAAAAATGCCCATGAAGGAATACAAAGGGTAGTTTTATAACTACAATATGTAGTTATAAGCAATATTGGTATTCCAGTAAAAAGAGGTCTGTTTTGTGCTTAGTTTTTCTCTGGTTCTGTAGAACCTCAAAATTCTCATTTAAGTGGGATTTTGGGCCATTTGAAGACTGGGAGTGAGGAGTCTGTGGTAATGGAAATGATAGATTCTAACACAACCTGTCTCCTGAAGGCAACATAGCCAAAATCAAAAGGATAATCAAAATAAACCAAAGTCTAGACAACCCATTGTCCTTTCGTTTTTGATGACAAACACCGTATTTCAGACCATGATCTCTGAATCACTCACTCAGTTCCTGTTTCCATATTTTTAAAGATTTATTTCTCAGTATTGATATTAACTCAGCTGCCCCAGTGTTAAGCACATTAGAAGCTCCACTTGATTCATCGGTTGGTGTATTGACATAGAAAACCAAAAAGATCTACAGAGCATGGATTCAACAAGCAGATATTGCTGCAGATGTCCTCCAGCACTGCGATCCTATTGCTGATACAATAATCTTTATGATAAAACCAGTCAATTTTGTGTGTAATGTAATTAATGTCCCAAAACAGAAAGGAACGTTAACTCCTACAGGCAATTATCTAAGTCAACTCAGTTTCTGTTCTTTACTTACAGTGAGGGCTTTCCTTTGCCCCAACGTGTAGAAGGGTCCTAGCAATAGGGACGTTGTTTGTCAAAATGGCAATATCCAAAGGAGTTAGTCCCTCACTGTTTGGTGTGTTCAGGTCCAATTCCTCCAGCGTGTATTGATAAAGAAGAATCTGAACAGCATCCAGGTCTTGCTGTTCTACAGCTTCAAACATAGCTTCATTGCACTGGAAATTCTGTGTATCAGTAAAAGCAGAAATTCAGTAAAACTTTTCAAATGTCAGTGTTTTAAAAATAAATTGAGAATTTTTTTTTATGAGGTTGCTATAAAATACTGATCCTCCAGCCCCAGCCTAGGTTCAGCTAAAAACATGGAAATTTTTTGCAGCAAAACTGAGCTTGGTCTTCCTCTGGACTCATGTGCTTGATCTTGTTTCAGGTATGTGAGAAGATTCAAGAGAGATTCAAACATATACAAAACAAATCCATACTTATTTATACATCTGTCCTGTAATTAAACTTGGGGTATACAAACTCAGCTGATCAAAATCCATATCAAACAAACTGATTTGCAGAAAAACCTCCACAGCTCCAGTGTGAGCAAATAATAGGTACTGTTAATTCAAACACTTCAGTCGTTTCTAGGTGCTCATATTTTTGTGTTTAACTTGTAAGCAGAAGCAGCTTTGAAATGTATACTCCTTAAATAAAAAAGTACAAATGAGACTGAAAAAATTGGCTGTCCATCCTGCATGTCCAGGAAGTGATGTGTCTGAAGAGCAGAGAACATAAGCAGCCAAAACCAAGAACATGCATGGCACCTACTCTCAATCAGGGAGAACCACTGAACCTTTTTCTTACCAATGTAAATGAGATAAAAGAACGCTATAATACAAAGAAACCTATCATTTCTTAATTTTTCTGAGGAGAAGCAGGTGCAGGAGAGCAGCATGGTCTTCAGGTTTCTGTTGTAAGAACATCCTTCTGGAGCCTACAGTAATGACATGTTATTTGCCAAGATTCTGCAGTATCCCTTTGCCATAATTACCCAAAAGGGTTTTTTTTTCCTCTTAAGAGGAATAGTCAGATGACTTTCTAAAGATGAGATGAACTATGCAGCAATAAAGCAAATCTAGGAGAGTAGTGCTGACTTGGGAATCTACCTTTTACACACTTAAGCATAAAAGATAGTTCATGATAGAGAAATATTTTTTTCCCTGTAGATTTCCATGCAGAATAAAAGACACTACTTAAACAAGTGCTTCATCATAATGAGTCTCTGTCAAATTCTTGTTTTCAGATTCTTCTCTAGATTGTAAGATTCAGATTTGATTTCATTATCAAATACTTAGCTCACACTTCAGTGTTAAGTGCAAGAGAAAAATCTCAGAAAAAGGAACCGCTGAATGGTAAGCAGCTAGATTTATAATTATTTATTCACCCCTCTGTTCAAGGCAAAATATTGTCTTGAAGGACATACACTGTCATTAGAGAGGACATATCTCCAGAAAATTTTAGAAAAGAGGTCAGCACATATTTCTGTTTGTTATAAGGTAAAACTTAAAAATGACTGAAATTTTTACTGCAATGCAGCAATATTTCTTTTGATTCCAGTAGCCCCACCCTTTTGCTGTCTTGCTTATATAACATCTTGCCCTGAAATCAGAAATCTTACTCTTATTCTGGTGGGAAGAACTGCTCTAGCTAGAAATTAAAAGAATTGTAATTCATTTTATGTTAATAAAAAATATTTAAATTAATGGTATGATTCTGATACATGCTAAATGTCATCAGCTCCCGCTTAAGCCAATGATATACATTTAACAGTTGTATGACATGGCAATATATACTCAAAATTAACATGTATAGATCATTGATTTTCTACCTAAAGGGGAAAAAGAAAAAAGCTATGCTCCTTTGCTCTTTCAGATATCATTATTATGAATGCAGAACTATGAACTGATAGACTGTTTTTGCATATAAATTATTAGAAATGCAAAATGTATTTACCAATTCTCCAAAAATAGGTATCAACTTTCTAAAAAGCATTAATTTCATCCCAGTTTACACTCATTTCAAACTCTTTTTCTGATCTTATAACTTCCTCTCTACTGTTTATGGAAATAAAAGGTAATTATGCTTCAGAAGCACCTGCTTTTTGAGCCAATGAAAAAACAACTAAAATCATATTACACTTGTAACTGATCACAGCTAGGAAAATCTACTTATTTAACAGTATATTCATAAAGAGCTTACTACAAAGGGAATTAGTTGAAGTAAACTGAATTACTATAGTAGTTTAAATTTCTTTTAGTTAAGTTCACTTTAGGAAACACTTGCTAACAGTCTGAGAGCAGAACAAAAATGTACAGCTGATGATATTGCTCAATGACAGGCTTGTGGTACTCACTTAGGACAGGAAACTACATCTTGGTTCAAATTTCCCCTTCCATAGAATTGGGTACGTGCATATATGGTCTTCCCCTTTTTTGAAATCAGAGTAGTAATTATCTTTTAATTGACTTTATGTACATGCATAAAAGTTAAATGAGTTAGCATTTGTAGGGTACTATGAGTGCTCAATACCACTATTTGGCTTTAATTCCAATGCTGTGTGAAACTCAATAAATCTTGTACTACATCTCAGGAGTTTCTTCTGTTACATAAAATGAAAAAAAAACCCTGTTACATAATAATAATAAAAAAGATGGCTAATTTCAGTATTACAGCTGAAATTAACTCAATGATATGGCTGACAAAAACATTTGGCTGTTTTCAGTTATATATACACACACTTTAATAACAGATTTTACCTATCTGAATGATTATTGAAGGATTATTTTAAAAAAATTGATTTGAATTGTTATTTTTGGATTCAGTTATCAAGATTTAGACCTGCCTAGGTGCCTTTGAAAATGCATCTTTGGACTTTTGCTTGCCAAATGAAATACCTAAAGTATTTGCGAAATTTTGCCTAGAGTAAGTTGCTGAGTAGAATCTAAGCACATGCTTAAGTTAATTCCTCATAAATGCTCTTGCCAGCTAGTCTCTTGGCAAGAATGCTTCCTGAAAAGGAAAAAAAATAAAAGCAAATTTCTATTTCTTCATTTCATTAGAAATCTGATTGAAAAAGCTGCACTGACTTAAACAAGAAACAGAGCATGAATTTTATAAGCTACTTCATCCAATCCAAACAATTATGAAACCAAATTGCAAATATCAGGTTTTTCAAATGAACAATTCAGACACGAGCAATAGGCTGAAATATGTTGGCAAGTCTCATAACTTCAAAGTATAAAAAAATATGGGAACTGTGATATGGCCTTTCTAACTGGGCATGTATGCATCCCTCGTCCACATAGCAGTGTGCATCTAACCATGCTACATCTATTTCAGTCAAAAAAAAAATCTGGTAAGACAGCAAAATATCTACCACATTTTCAGCCACGCCAGTAAATTTCCCTGTTTGGAAGTCTGCATCCAGCCCAGCTCTCCAAGTCTACAAAAAAATTCTGCTTCACCTAACCAACTCTCCCCTAACTATTTGCCTTCATACAGATAACAAATACATTTGAAGCTTATGTAGTTTTCGGCAAAAAGCTGATCATATTCTATGTAAAAGACATTCTAATATCGCAGTGCTATTCAGACATCTGCAGCCCAGGGGTAAGAAATTCAAATAGGGGTAAGACATAGTATCTCTAGACCCATGTGCTCCATTTTAGTCCAGCTGGTATTGTCACAAATCCTAACAAGACCCTTCTGATTTCCGCCTTCATTTGCATTTACTTGATAACTTTCTTCTGCTCTGAAAAGACAAAACCATTGAATTAAAAAAGAAACTGAACCACATTTACAAGTGATCAGGTAAAGTTTAGGGGCCATTTTCACATTGCTTTTCCTTGACTCAGTCCTGCAGACTCTAATCGTTAGCTAGACAGCTGTGCTACGTGATTAATTTATTTAGGTGTTAGTCTGATGCACAAATGTATATACTGAAAAGGACTACAGTATTGCTTTGCAGTAAGTAATAACCATGTTCCAGTAAGTGATTCAGTGCTGCAGTGTTTAGAAATGCAATCTTATGTAGCTTAATTAAAATGAAGTGCTCCTTTCAAGATATTTGCTCTAGGTTTGACTGAAAAAGTCCACTATGTGCTACTGGAGTTGGAAAAAAAATGTTAAAGTCGTTTCTGCAAAGACTTGTTTTGATAAACATGAGTTCAAGAATAAAGCTATTTTGGGACATTGCTATGTCTGCAGCAAGACAACAATCTGCTGAATGGAAAGTGTTGCACAGCAAGAGAGAATGGAAAGAAAACTCTTCAGTAGCCAAAGCTGAAAGAAAACAAAGTCTAACAAATGTTGTTCACTTGTCTGGAGACATGATTTTAGTCACTGACTTAGCTCTGTAGCACAAAACCCCAATGATTGGAAAGTACATCAGCTAGCAACTTGACCTGTCATAATTCCACCCCTTCACTGATGGTTTCCCTGCTATTTATTTCTAGGGAAAACTGTGAAAACAACAGGCAGAATGGACAGAATGGGATCCAAAGCCTTTTGAGTTCAGTGAGTCTATTCACTGACTGTTGTGGACATCAGCTCAGCCCCTAGACTGGTAATAGCTAGAGGTACCTATGGTCAGTGTAGGTCAGCAGTGACAAAAGCTATGTCACCCCCATGACAGTGTAGTGGGTTGGTGGAAACGAAGTTAGCACAAGTCTATATCCCATTAAACCACCAATCACACCAAAACACAAAATCGATTTGCCTAACTGTGGTTGCTGATAGACTAGGCACTCCCCCCATCTGACAGATCTGGACTGAAAAGGGAGAGAAGTGAGATTGTAAGCAATTTGCTCTGGGGATAGCAGAGGACTTGAGCTTCAGAAGCAGTACTCTGCTCCTCAATCTCTGGGCTATGCTTATTTGCCATTTCTTGTCTTATAAGTTAAGTATGATAGAAAACTCCATATTTGAAGGAATATGTAATTTGAAGTGTGTATTTAGAGAAATACTGGTCAGAAGATATGCTAACACACTGGCATTTATTCAGTCCACATGTCAGTCTGCTCTGGCATGGTCCCCAGCACTAGTTTACCCTCCTACCTTTCACTTGCTTAGTCACACACAAGCTTGCAATTGAAAAGAAAAAGGCAAGAAAAGACAGTGGCTTAAAAATTCACCTAAAGAATCTTTTCCCCATAGTTCACACTTAGAGACCCAAATTCAAGTGATCCCTACAAACTGAAAGCATCTGGAAATCCACTGCCTCAAGCACACAGCTGTTGGCTGCTATGCAAAGGCTGTTCTCCAGCTATCAAGCCCTGTTTGAGTTTCAGGCTTCTCCTTCTGTAAAACAAAATCTATTGGCTCTAGCAGAGCTGAGAGGAAGGAGCCATGAACCCTTGCTTCCTTCAGGTCACAGTCTTTCTTCAAAGGAGAGAGAGAAGAGTCTCTTGACTTTCCAATGCATGAAAGCTACACTTCAGCTTAGCTCTTCCATGGGGCATGCGTGGGTCTTCTGATTTTGAGAAAGGAATGATCAGAGGGGACAGGATCATTGCATGGATTTAAAAATTATTTTAAATATTTGCATTGATTAATATAATTTATCTCATACTTAACAAAGATTTGTGAGTGTTAAATGAGTCTAGAATGTGCTGCTGCTTCTGATAAAACATAATATTTTTATTATCTGGCCCAACCATATTCAGAGTTTAATCCTGCACTGAGCTAAGCACCTGCTTTAGTGCAGCATAGTAATGGTTCTAAGAGGTGTCACCTAGCACATTCACAGACACTGTCATGAGTCATCGCTCTTCAAAAGTGGAGAGCAACTCTCCCTCAAAATAATTTAGAGAAGAAGTTGAAGGATGTATCTGTTCTTTCTACTTACGGAAAAGGGGAAATTTTTTTTTTTTTGGCAATATCAACAGTAAGTCATCTTCCTCCAGCAAATATAAAAATTCTGTTGTGCATTGAACATGCACAGAACTTACACTGTGCTATTATTTCAGGGACACAGTCTGTTCTTCAAAATGTATGTGCTGGAGGTTGTGTAACTTCAAAAGCACTGGCATAAATAGAAGCACTTGTGGGTATCAAGTCCAGCAGGTGCTTCTATACTTTCTTGTGCTGGCACCAGAGTGCTCATCTGAGTTCTGTGACTAGGGTACCCAAGGCCAGACTGCTTCATGTATGATATCCTTTTTCCGTGGTCTGCTCTAGTAATTGGCACTACAGTCTACAACCAACCTTGCATTTATCTGTCACAGCATATAAGTTCCACTTGCTCTGTTGTTTGGAAAACTGGGAACTTTTATTAAGGTCAACTCAGTTTTCTCAAAACACTTTTTCTTGACTTCTTGTAAGAGAAACACTTCTGTGTATATATTTTTTCCACATTTTGTCACATTAATGTCAAGTTAAGACCTCACTCCTAAAATAAAATATCATCACTTGAGTAAGGGAGCTTTTCTTCAGCCTTCAAGAAGGTCAGACTTTATTTTGACATAGGATCATAAATGGTAAGTCTGGGAAGAATGCATAGCATTGGTTAGGGAACAGACAAAGTGAGATGATGAAAATTGTACAGATTAAAAGCAAATCGATTAAGGAGATTAATAGGACAGTAAACTGGCAATTTGATATATATCAAGCAATTACCATTGAGGTCTTACGGAGACTGAGCCGGTCTGATCGAGCTCTGAAATACGCTTCATCAAAGGATGTATGACTCCCCTTCAGCTTCTCAGACAGGTTCCGATATAACCGCTTTGCAGCATTTGGAGAGGATGGCACACTGTTCTTTTTAGTCTGGAGGAGACTTAAGTTATGCATTTGCTGTGTCATTTTCAGCTAGTAGATACTAGGAGGAAAAACAACAACTCTTTAACATGGTTTTGCTACACTAACATCACTGAGCAGAACTGTATCACTGAAATGCATATTGTGAGACTTCTGTGGCAAAAATCACTTTCACGCACACAGTTTTTGAACACTTAGAAACACATTTTCGGGCTTTTTCAATGGCAGATTGCTCTTTATGGAATTTGTCCTATTGATATCTGTGGGGAGGGATAATTAAGGATGGAAAAATAAAACAGATCACTTCAGAAATATTTGTTAATTTGTATAATGAGAAGAGGTTTCACTTAATGAGGGAAATACCCTTTTAACAGAGAGAGTTCTGGTAACAGGAGTGTCAGAAAAAAATCACACCCAAATGTAAAAGTTACTATACAATTTGAATAACATGTATATAATTATATTTTGTCAGTATAGAGGTTTCTTAAAACAAAACTGAAGCAACTGAAAGGAAAAAATCTAACTGATTACAGAACACAATGCAGGACTGAATTTTTTTAACTAGTCAAGTGACTTAAGTTCGACACAAGCACAGCTGTGGCAAGACATCCTTTATTTCCCACATTACAGTCTGCTAGCAAACTGTGTGCTCCAAAAGCATGCGACATTTTCAGTCAGGCAGGTGAATTCTCTTTCTCTAAAAACTCAAAGCAGTATTTCTCACTCAGGAAATGTGGCTGGATGCAAAATACTTTTTATCTCTGAACCCATCACAAGCTACAGTAGAAATAATGCATGAGCTTACATTTAATTTGCATCAAATGCTGACGCATCACCCAAATAAAAGTCCATTGCTACAGAGAATGTTTTTTTGTCAAGAGTTTTGGGGAGCATTTGGTAGGGAGGGAACATACTCTGTGATCAAGATTCCTAAGGCATTATGTTTTAGCAAATAACAGTTGAAAAGAGACAACCTATTGTATTGGGTTTTTGTGGCAAGGTTTGGTAGCAGGGAGGGCATAGGGGTGGCTTCTGTGAGAAGCTGCCAGAAGCTTCCCCCATGTCCAACACAGCCAATGCCAGCCAGCTATAAGATGGACCCACCGCTGGCCC